TTCTTTCAATATGTTAGGAGAGAGAAAGCAGTGCAGTTCATACTAAGGAGTACCGGACCTCTGTCCTGCCGCCGTATCCGCGAGCAGTGAGAGTACAAGTCACGGAGCCCACTTATTATCTGATGAACTGGTATGGATGGCAACACCTGCCCTACCTACCTCTCTAGGTCTGTGTGATATAAAAAATATTCATGATACGTGGGGAGAGGTTTCATAAACTCAAAAGCATTTTATGCACGTAAAATTGTGCCTTAATTGCCACTGGTGACGCACACCTTCAATTTAGCATTGTGTCCCAAATTAAAGATTATATTCTCTTCATTCCATTTTTAACACGCTCATGATACAAATGTTAAACAGTGCTGTCGCGATCTACCCATTTCTGTAGAATTCCAGTGTGGTGTTCACGTCACCGCACCAGCTTCTGCTTTGTTTTCCGGACAGAAGCTCCTGTGACAGTTGGGGTGCTCACGGGGTGTGTCAGTCACCAGCGCCCCAACCCAGTCACGCTGCCTTCTGTCAGTGCTGGAGCTCAGAGTATGCTACGCTTCCCTGTTTGGAGGTCTTTGCATTCTTCTTCCCTCTGTTTGGCTGTTGGGCTTTTTTATGTCATTGCTAGACATTCATAATTAGTTTTTCAGACTTTGGGTCCCCAGAGCGTCATTCCACGACCATCGTATCTAAAACAGGAATGCTTTCTGTATTATCTTTTACCACCCACTCTCTGGGCATGTCTACCTCGTTAGTAGGGTGTACTGGAGCGTGTTCAGCGCCCAGTAAATATCTGTAATAAACGATTAAATAAGGATAACTGGAAGACTCCCTTATCTGTTAATCTCTTCATCTATTTAAAAACTGTCCTCTTTCGGACACCTGTCTCACCTATGAAGGCAGCAGCGTACCCTCCTAGCCAGCAGGACCTGACTTAGTGTCTTATTTTGGAAAACTTTGATCATTTATTGTAACCTTTACATTTGTAAAGAGCAAAGGAACCTTACAATCACCACAGAATTCTTTGGATACCAGTATTTCCTGAATACACTCTGTAGACTTTCTTCCCAGCGCGGATCAAGGAGGCTCTCTGGGAAGATGAGCACATTCTATGCCCACACTGGCCAACAGAGCAGTCATCGGCCCCTGAGGCTACAGAGCACTAGAAATCTGCCTTGGTCACCTTAGGAACTGAATTTCATTTTATTTATTTCTTTTTGAGATGGAGCCTTACTCTGTTGCCAAGGCGGGTCTCAAACTCCTGTGTTCCCGTGATCCTCCTGCCTTAACTTCCTGACTTGGTAGGACTACAAACCCACACCGCCATGTCCGCATTTGAACTTTGCCTCTTATTTAATTTCAAGTAATCTGCTTTAAGTAGCCACATGTGGCCAGCGGATACTGTACTGGACGGCACAGAGTCCTTGTTGCCAGAGACTATACCGGCCTGGGTCCTCTGAAGAATCAGAGCTGTGGGAGAAGGAGAAAAGGGAAAATAACTGCTTTGTATTATTCTCACAGACCGAAAGGAGTATTCAAATTTCTTGCTTGGAATGGTGCTGAATAAAGACTCCAATAAGGAGTCTGAATTCCCTCCATCAATGGCATGTGCTCCGCTGGAGAGACAATGAGTATCTATATTTAGGTTTTGGAGGTATTTCCTTCACTTTACTTAATTTAAATCAATTTTCGATACTTTAAAAAAGCCTTTGCAATGAAACATGCTTTCTAAATACTTTATTTTTATTTAGGTTCTAAAAATACAAACCTTTAATCGGTCCAGCTCAAGATAAGGTATATTTAAAAACACACCACAGTCTGAACTGATTTTCCAGAATAATGAAAGGCCTTGTGAAACTTTTTACCCCAAGAATTGTCATTTTAAATTCTTAGCAGGTCTGTCATTTAAATCAGGCACTGTGCAATTTTCCATCACCTACATACATATAAAAAAATCCTCTCTCTTCTGCTTTGTGCTCTGCCCAGCTTCAGTTTTTATCTCATTCTCCAGTGCCCTCCTAAGCTGCTGCTTCTCACTGAAAATTACCCAATTCATTTTAGAGATTAAAGATTTTTTTTTTTAAAATAAAGATTATCTAAAATTTTCAGAGGCGCTAACCAGAATATCGTAAACAATGCCCCTGAGGACGGGTCCTGATGAGTACACTCTGGTTAATTTTAGAAGCACCGGCTCGGGCTGTCGGCAGACAGATCACTGGTGGCAACACTCGATGGCTCTGGGAACTCATTCGGATTTATAACAGGAAATGAGGGCAGGGCGGCAGTGTGGGCGGGAAGGGGGAAAATACCTCTCCTTTCTTTTAATCTGTTCATGTCTCTTTTCTTAGTCTTGCTTCACATTTAGAGGCAATATTAAAGTTAGAAGACACAAAATGCAGATTTTTGTCTAATTTTGTCACCTTAGGCTTGAGAGCATTAATATACTTCCGTAGACAGAAAACTGATAAAGTGATTTATTCTTGTTTCACTCCGTAAGAATACTAAGTTCCAAACCCAGGCCCTCATATTTCTGTCTAATGAACTAAGGAAAGTTTGACGGCATTATAAAATCACTGCATTCCTCTAGCGCTTTGTACATGGCCTGTATTTTATTAACCATGCTTACTTCAGGCCACTCTACTCATGGTTCATATATATTCTGCAATGCCTGTAATGTTTTTGGGTCCTTATAAAGGGACACGTCAAGACAATATGTGCTTTATCCAACTGCACATATCACTGCCAACATCACTGACAGCCGTTTCGCTACGTCAGGAGGTAATAAGGTATGGGATTATAATCACTATCACTTTGCTTATATGCCATAATCAATTATGGCAGATTTATGGCAAAAGGAAACAATCCTGAAACTGGTAAATAAAAACTAATAGGAAGGTTAATAGTAGAAAATAGAAAAAATAGTTTGTTGCTAAGACTAAAAGTAGACCAGGCATATTCAGAGAGAGGCACTCAAGGGAGAAATAAAAGTGTGAATTAGTTAGGCTTACTAAATTATTTTTAGAAATTATTACGTAGGTACTCTAGGACTGAAGGCATTTGTTATGACACAAGCTATATTTCTGTGTATCTGTAAAACTGGTTATTTTATAGACCCAAAAATACATTTTTATGGTAACACAGTAAATAGATGATATACAAACTTATGTTCCATAAGTTTTTATCTGGACAATTCTGGTATATCCACAGAGTATTAATTTTTAATATTAACACAACAGCAATATGACTTCAAATATACTGAAAACATTCATATATATATATATAATATGTATTTTTTTTGAGATATTTATATATTCTTTCTTATGTAGTTAAGGTTGACCTTGAATTCACTGTGTAGCCTACGCTGGTCTTAAACTTGGTGATCCTTCTGGCTCAGTCTCCCAGGTGCTAAGATTACAGGCCTGTATCATGGCGCCTGACTAATAAATATCTGTTTTTTTTATATTGAACACACCCCCAATTACATTTTACCCTATATATCAATAACCAGTTTGGGAAGTTACAAAGTAAAACTTAAATGACATAAATGCCAAACAAACCCTAACTCTAGTAAATTGTTTTTCTATATAACTAATTCAACTCTATACTCACTAGAACATATTTAAAAAAGCAAAAAGCGAACCCCTAAGAAACTATAGATTCTAAAAAAAAAAAGAAAACTATAGTTTCTAAAAACTGAGTATTTGTGTGTTTTTTGGTTCTACACTGAATAGTTTCATAAGATCTTGAGAGAATACTTAGAGCACACGCTCATTGTCTTCCTCTGTGAAGAAGCTGTATTTTTTTGGCTTATCAAGTCCTATGATGTGGATAAAATACACATGTATTTCTTTGTTGCTCAATAATGAATATGCCTTTTGTACATTTAAATAACAGCTTCATCACAAATTCATCTTTTCCTTATGGGACTCAAAGTAAGCTTGCTAGTATTTATTATCCAATCAATGATCACAGCTTTTCTAAATTGTAGACAACGCTGAGTATGCAAATAAAGTTCCTCTATTCCAGCTCTAGTCACATTAAATGTTTAAAAATTACTGTCATATAGTATTTCAAATTATTATATAGGACAAAGAAGTCTGCATAGTTCTGGCTCTATAAATATACTCATAAAAGACTCACAAATTCAGTTAATTCTCTGTCAGTTAACCTGGGTTCATATTGAAGTCGGTGTTTTCTAACAATCAATTGGAAGATGGATATTACAGATATAAAAACATGGTCTTGACTGCTATCTTAATTTTGCCAACAACAACCACATGGAGTGCTAAATCATGACATGATAATGATTCTATCAAGAAAATAGAATCAAGACCTGGAAATTAAAGCCAATTACCAAGATTTTGTTTCAGAAAATTCATATATATATATATAATATATATATATATATACACGTGTATATATATATATAAATTATTATCTTTAAAAAAAGAGCAAGAGGGAGAGAAGGAAAAAAAAAAGATTCAAACAGGAAGTTCATATGAGCAGGATTTAAATTAATCAGTTCCTAACAATTGTTAAGTACAACCTTTTGGAAATTAATTTGCATAATGATAATCTACATGCGATAGGGTTGAAATTATTTAAGCGACGTTATATTTCACTATTTAGTCTTGCTCCACCACTGCCCTACCAGTGAATCCTTATGAAATGTAATGCAGCTAATGAGGTAGCTTTTTAACTGAACAAACTGACAGGCCCCATATCTGCAGAGGCAGCTTGAAACCGTGCCCAACCTCTTGGCTTCCCAAGAGGCTTTTCAAAATTCAATAAATAACATCTGTAGGCGATGTTGGGTGCAGACCTAGCAGAGTGCGTCATAACACTGTGCTGGCAGAACAAAGAAACCATGACGACTGCCAAGTTTCCATGGCAACTGCTGCGAGGCTCTGAGAGTATAATAGCACATCAATCACTGTCCAAAAGAACTTCATTATCAGCTAGAAAAAACCTTTAGAATCTGTTTAGTGTGCAATTGTGGGTTAACTCACCTCAAAGCCTTGCTCTCTAGCAAAAGTGGCAGCTTCCTGGAAAAAAAAAAAAAAAAAAGAACAGTTAATTACAAAGTGCTAGGTAATGAAGAAATAATCCATTTTGAAACTCATTCAAACAGTCTTCTTTTTACACAATTATCTCAATATACCCACAGAGTTCAGTTTTATTCTTACACCAAAAAAGATTTCTCTTGGCATTAAAAAAAAGGCAGCATAATGTCAACACACTTCACAAGTTGGAATAAAGAAGATGTAGTACATGTTTTTACTGGAGCTGCCACAGTAAGTTCAGGTGTTCTGACCTCACCAAAGAAAGACAATTATTTGAAACCTAAGGAACTTGCTTGTGGTTATATTTTTAATTAAAACAATACTTCTCAGAAAGCTCTGCTGTGGAGAAGTGCATCTTGCTAATAAATGTATAGACTCAGAGAAAAAAATCACCATTTTACATTTCTGATGATCAAATTTATACAGACAGGGATCATTAGTGGGTGTTAAGATTCATTGGGCGAGAGGATGATGGGGCACTGGGGCTTTCCACAAGATCGAAGAATCACAGATTATGTGCTGGTCGTGGGGAGGAAGGCATCACTGTACAATGGAGAGATCAAGCTGTCATCACTGTAGCCCAGGGATGGGTCCCATCACTTATCACTGCTAACAGTAGGATCACCAGAGGCTCTGCCTTTGCTTATGTGCATTAGGAAGTACAGTGTCACTTGTACAGTATTCTGACAGAAAAATTTAACATGAATTCATCAAAACTTTAGTCCAAGTCAGGCGCAGCAGTACATGCTTACCATCCCAGCTAACCGGGAGGCTAAGAAAAGAGGACTGCAAGTTCTACTCCAGCCGGGGGAACCTATTTAGACCCTGCCTCAAAATAAAACAAAAAGCAGGGAATAGGAATGTAGCTGAGTGGTAGAGCCACTTGCTTTAGCATGTGCGAGGTCTTGGGTTCAACATCTCCTCCCCTGTTCTGAGGAAGGAGAAAAAAAAAAAAAAAACCACTTTAGTCCAACAACTTGCAGTGACCAACACAGGATGGGGGGAAGAAAGAATACACTGAGAAAGCCAGCGAGCAAATCTCTAGGGTACAGACATATATAAATGGAAATTAAATGATATTAGGAATTATCAGTTTGATAACGAAAATGGCCTTAATTTTTAGAGATGTATCTTAAGGGATTCAGGGATCAAATGTCATGAACTACATGAATTACTTTAGAAAACTTTGTAAAAAAATGAAGTGAGGCAAAATTGGCAAAATAGTAACTGTACGATCTAAATATGTATATGGTACATGGGGGTTCAGTATCTCTGTTGTTTTGTCTGTTTGAAAGTTTTCACAATAAAGCCCCCAAACCCCCGACTTCCCCTTTTCTAGGGTGAGAAGGTAACAAAAGTTGAGTATTTTAAAAATGGTTAAGCAACTGTAATACACAAGTTCCTCCAGATTTTAAACATCTTAAGTGCACAATCTGATGAACACTACAATATACCCAGTGCCTTTCTAACAGGTTAGCAAATGAAAAAAAAAAAAAAAAAAATCTGTGTTAACCAAATTTCTGTCCTCTTACGATCAAGCTTGTGAATATATTTTAATTTTAGGACTGATACAAAATGGAAGCAATATTACTTTTCAACTCTTCTTCCCTCTTGAAAGTGAAAAAAAATTGCAGACAACTGTCAAGAGCCTCTACATCTTAACTTACATTCCTCCCAAATTATCTTTGCCAAGAGATATTAATAGAAGGATGGGATTTGAGCCTGAGTAGTGAGCAGATCCAACTCAACTAAAACGACTGCTGCACCAAACCATGTAAGGCAGAAAGTACAGTCAGTGTCTCCGGCATAAATTCGGGAACTACCTCCACGTTGTGGAAAACACAGAGGAAGAAATAAGTACGTGTGCACGTATGGTCCAACGTGCCAACAACCTGCAGACTCAGAGCGGCATTGTGAGGGTTTGGGAAGGTCAAAATTATGATTACAGCTCAATGGTGAAGGTAACAGACAGTAATAAGCTGCAAGTACAACTCCTTGGGCTCTGCACCACAGAAACACAAGGCCCACCGAGTTAGCCTCAGCTGACGGAGACCAGAAAAAGAAAGTCGATCACGATCTTAACAAGCAAGGTCAGCCTCTTGACAGTTTACTTAAAACAGAACTTTGTACATCAAAAGTCAATAACATTTGCTGGCTAGGATAGCAAGGAAAAGGTTCAGAAGGTATCAGTGTAGTGTTTCCCACGCTGTCATAATTAACCAAACCAATTCCTATATAAAGAGACAACTGCAGAGGTCTGCTAGGACTATTTATTTATATGGAACTTCATCAGAGCCATGAAAGAAGGACTCCAGGCAGTTAAAATGAAGAATCCAGAGGACAAAAATCACAGTAAGAGACAAAGACCAAAATCCCACATATTGAGATGACATTGTTTTTTAATATCTAGCTTTGTTCATGTAAGCCTAAAATATTAACTATCATTTGGCAGGGTATAGTAGAACTAAATGCAAGATACATTAAATGTCAGATAATCATTTTATAAGGAAACCAGGCCCTAGAACGTTTTCACATGTGTAAATAATTCCAAGCACTGACATATTTCTGGCTGAGGAAGGACATACTTAAGAAAAGTCAAGTCAATTTTCTATCCTGGTGCCCCCGCACACAGGTTTGCTACTCTGCGCCCTATCAGTAAAAAGCTAAGCACTTGTTCTGTGGCTTAGAATGATCTTATCTTCCGACTTCCTCCCACCTTCCTTTGATCTTGGGCTGCGGCCCCAAGTCGCTCCATTAGAGGAGGCAGCCGGCTCACATGACTGCAGACTTTCCCACAGCTAACCTCTGATCTGAAGGTGTTTGTAGCTACAATGATAGAACAACATTTATTTTCCTCCCTCCACAACACAAAATAAGACAGGGGAACAGTTTGACCCAGTACGGATGTTAAGCAGAATTTTAGTTCTCAGATGTGCTGCGTGAAGCGACAGAAAGAAAAGGCATTATGTCAGAAAGCAGGGAAGATAGAACGGGCGGAGACGGTGGGCAGAAGGGGAGGCAGGTTCCAAACACCAGGGTTAATTCCAAGTGAACTGATCATGCTAAATTGAAGGGGACTTTTTAGTGTGCCTTCGCAGAAGTGAGAAAAGAAAACAAGCAAGCCCCCATCTGCGCTGCCCCGGGGCGCCTCACACCGAGTCTCACACATCTAATGAAGCAGTCAGGTTAAAATCCCACCGCAGAGTGTGACATGTGGAGAACAGCTAAGGTTAGAACGGAGAAGCAGGGTGGTTCCTAATGCAGGTGATTATCCGTGTGATAATCATTATATTTACAGGCTTTCCATTTTAGATCTGACATCAAAAATCACAAAGGAGGAGGGATTAAGGAAATAAACAACCGACACAGAGGCTTTCCTGCTCCCCTGAGAGTGTAACACTTCCATTCATGCATGACAAGCAACAAAAGCAAAACCAAACAGGCCAGGAGAGAGTATTTCTGAGAAGGCTGGATTTCACATTAACACTTCTTTCCATTTTGATAACTTTCACTATTATTCAGCTTCTCAGACAGGTCACATTTTCAGAATCAGTTCTCATTGTTGGCTCTGCTATAATACAGTATCATTTTGGGTTTACAATGAGTGATACTCACATAATGTGTCCTTTACAACAACAGAGTCATTTTTCCTTCCTGGAATTGAGTGTTGGGAATCAAATGACATATAATTAAAGTCTTTCGCTCTCATCCACAGCGCCCCACTTAGGGTGTACAGTAAGCTGGCTGCTTCCCCAGCCAGGCTAACGGGGTGATGATGAGACAGCTCTCAAATATGGCTGTTGAACTGAGCTGTAAAAAAGAAGGGCTGGGATTCACGGTTAATGAAAACTATGGCTTATATTAAGAGCTATTTAAAGGGATTAGCAAGCTGCTATTAAAAAGCACAATTCTCAGATTATACAGGAAAAGAAAGAGGAATCGCAGTGCATATTTGTGTGCATGAAAGAGCTATTTCCTTTATAATGCACTGAAGAGCAACCTATCTTATATTTCATATCCTAATACACAAGTTATTATTAAAAAATTCCCATAGTCAATATTAAACTAAAACCACAACTTCTTCATACTCATTTCAACAAATACAGTTTCCGTATATTGACCTGGTATCCTTGTTTTTTTTTTTTTTTGGTCTTTTTGAGACAGGGTCTCGCTATGCAGTTCAGGCTGGCCTTGAGCTCACTTTGTAGCCCAGGCTGGATTCAAACTCACAATGATCTTCCTGCCTCAGCCTCCCGAGTGCTGGGATTACAGGCGTGCGCCACCACGCCCGGCTGACCTGGTATCCTTAGACTTTGCCAAATGCACTTATTCACTGTGGGGTGGGGGTTACTTAGGATCTTGTATATAGATGATATGTGAATCATCTATACCACGAAAGATAGTTTTCTGTACTCCTACTAACCATACCATAAAGATATTGAGAAGTGAACAAAATGCCTGTCAGATGAAAATTCATCTCTTGGAGGAAGGGTATGACTACTGTACTAATAACCACTACTGGCAGTGCTCATAACCCTAGCCTTCTCACTTCCTGCTCAGTTTTGAACCCTGTTTAGAACAATTATCTGTCTGCTTATGCTAGCACTTGGCTATTTTTTTTAAATCTCAGACCTCAGAGGTCCTAGGTGCGGGTTGAAACTTCATGTCCTGAAACAAAAGCAAGACAGTTCAGCTTAGAGCCAGAGGAAGGTAACATCAGATTCCCACCGCCCAAAACAGATAGGGGGCATCAGTGCAAGGAGGAAGCGGGAGATTCTAATGAGCGTGGTGGCCCGGCTGTCACTGTGAGTCCCCGCAGTCCTCGCCCGACGCATGGGAATCCACAGCTTTGGGAGAAGCCCTGGGCGAAACCCGCGGAGGACGGGCCACTAGACCAGTTTTGCGTTTTTAGTTTGTTCATCTCTCCATCCAAGCAGTATTTACCCTCAAAGAAGTTGTAGGTTAATAGTCTGTTAATCTGT